TTTCTATACAGAGCTCCTTCCTTCTCTTTGAATAATTTATGTATTCTTCACAAGCTTCGCTGATTATTCGATGACTGATCTAAGATCTGCATACCGCCCCGTGCGGCTAGTGACTACTCTGAGATTAGATAGTGTTATGTGTGGCAGCCTATCAGTTTTCGCGTATAGCTTCAGGGCTCTGTCCCTTTTGTATTTTTTGACCGGATTTCTTAGCATTTCACTCGTGCGGATGTACCATGGCACTTTGCAGAGTTTTTGAAGAGTCTGACTTTGAGCAACTTCTAGCTTAGAAGTTAGACATTTCCCCTTAGAGAAATGTCGGAAGGTAACGTATGATATTAGAGTAACCTGAAAGAACCTGCTAGTTTTGTTCATCACTTTAACATCTTGCAAGATGACTGACGTGTTCTGTGTTTTTGTTCTTGTGTACTCCCGCGGGTAAGAAGCTAGATTATTCTCGAGAAAAGGAATGCGTATCGTATGAGGCGACTAAAATTCAGCAGGCAGAACCCAATATTGTATGGAGAGTATATAGTAGTAAGTTTGTTTCACTTATGGTGTCCGACTGGAGATGTACATGTGATTCCATGAGGGTCGCAACCCACAACTCCGGCTGTATTGGTCAATTGAGTTTGACCCTTGCGGTTAAAACCCAAAGCTACGCGGATAGAGTGACTGTAATTATTACTTTCATTCGATGTGAAGTCGCAAAAAATATTGAAGTTGTTTGATGGGATTTGGTGAAGGGAACTATATCCAAATGTTTAGCTTAGATTTGGTATCGGTAGAATTCTTTGGAATTCCAATGGAAGGTTTTATTGTTGCATTATACTGACACTGATACGTGTGTTAAGAGGTAATCACGTTAAAAATCGATTTACTCTGTGTTGTTATATGAAGATTGCATCTTTTATGACTTTTTTCCTATTTGTATGGATCTCACTGATTTCATTGCATTTCTGTAGTTTTTTAACTACTCATTTTCATGTTCGGTATTAAAGCGCATCCACACCAAAACGAACGCTTGGTGTGCATCCACAGGTAATGGTAGCTGCAAAAGTTCGTTCGTTCGCTTCGATGTGGATGTACCTTTATATATAATTTTTTTTTTGATTTATTATAAAACTAAATAGATTTCTCATATTTAGTTCTTTTTAAAATACGGCATGTATTAAACGTATTTATCGTAATTTACTTAATTACAGAGATTCGTTTTGTCGTGTAAGTGAACGTAGTAGCAAACGAAAATTAAGAACTGAAATGATATCCAAACCACAGAACGACTTGAAACACACCGGCCATGTTGGAATTGATGGAGCATCTTTCGGTGATGTCGCATTCTTGGGCAATTCACAAAATGTAAATATAAAACCAAATAATTTTGTAAATAATTTTTAATTTCATTCATAATAATTCCTTGTATTTATAGTATAATCACGTACCACGTCAAATTGTTACGCCATATAAACCTTCTGAAGATATTGAACAAACACCATTATTATTGCCACCAACACCTACAAGTCCTGACTCTCTACAAACTGCTAGTGGTTATTTTCCAGAAGGTGCAAATGTTACCTCTTCAAATCCTACATTTATATCTTCTGCTGAAAATACACCAAAAAATTTCTCAAATACTTCTCAATCCTCATTTGAATTTCCCGGTCAACAATTAGTATTGGGTCCTACAGTCAATGTCTCCACAAATCCATTTGCAAGTAAGAATGATGATGAAGTAAATATGTCGGCAGCATATGCCATGCAAAACAATCAATACAGTAATGACAGCAAAATGTTTGCAAACGAAATTGAAGTTCTGACATCAAGTCAGGCTGGAATATCTGGTAGACCATCGTCCAGAAGTAATTCTGAAGATCCACATGTATATCATGAGATATCAGATGATGAAATGGTAGCGGACAAATTAGATTTTGGTCCTTCATTATTGGCTGAAATAAATTCAATGTTTGGCTCAATGAGCGCAACATCAAGTCAACCAAAATCTCCAGATTTTGAGCATGTTAACATAAAAAACGAATTTACAGAAATCTCTACTAAATTAGTACGTAAAAATAGTGCTGGGGATGCTAATGGCAACAAATTTGGTATTGGTTCTATGAAGAAAAAAACAGCTGGAACTGTTAAGCAAATATCAGTGAAAGATGAAAAAATACTTAATCAAGCAATCGAAATAGCAAATGAAATGAGTGCGAGGTATTTATTTAAAATATTTTTAATTTTAATTTTCCAAATATTAATTTTACCTATTTTCTATGCAGGTCCATGATTGATTTGGGTGCTGATCCAGCAATATCAGCACAAAGTCCGAAAAGAAAGTTCAGTTTTCGCTTTCCTCATTTGTCGAACAATGGCTCCAATGATAAATCAAATAGTAATGGATCGCCAAATCATGCTGGTGGCGGTGTTAACAATGGCTTACACACTGGCATTTCTTCTCCATATTCGAAAAAGAAGAACTTCACTGAAGAACTGAAGAGTATACCAGACTTACAGGTAAATAATTGAGCGATTATTTTAAGTAATTTTCAGATTCATTATTTAATGTATCGTTAGAATTAAAGTGAAGAGGGAAATTTTATATCAAAATCTCATCAATCATAACTTTATGAAAGAAGATTATTTGACTGAATATCATCTTAAGCATTTGTAAAATCAAAATATTTATTTTAATTAAACATTATGTCATTGCATAAACATTTAAAATAACATTAATAATATATAAAATGTTTGAATTAATTACAATTCATTAACCATGCTTGCCTAATTGTATTTAATTATACCAATTATCGTAACCAAGTTATAAGTTATGTTAAATACATTAAACCTTGTTTGCCTTTTTTTAATTTTTAACGTAAATATTTAAATCAACTTTTCATATCCATCGTAGTTATATATATATTTTATATAGAAATAGATTTCGAATCAAGTTTAATCACTTTCTAGTTTTGTGTATCCAATTAATTTATATAATACTCATTTATTTACTGTATATTACTTATATTACATATATGATGATTAAATAGTTATTCGATTAATTTAAATATGTATTTAAATATAAAATGTAAGAAATATTGCATTATATTTAGTTACGTCAAATAAATATATATAACTAACTAATTTATGTTATATACATTTTTTGTTTATATTACTTGGATCTTATTACAACGTAAACCTTCGTACGCACGGCAAAAAACGTTTAATGCCGCACCTGTGCGCTTGAATGGTTGTCTTAGTTGCTTACACTTTCTATCGCTCAAGCGGCAAAAGTGCGGCAGAGAATGTTTATTGCAGCTGGTTTCAGCCGTGCGTATTAGTAATATTTTTTATTTATATATATATATATTTTTTTTTATTTTAATAAATTTTTAATTGTTTTTGTGCGTTTTTTGAGTATTTCAATTATATATTAATATACAGTAATGTCCTGCTATTGTAATATGAAGATGTAATACATTTGCATTTAAAAAATTTAGAATGATCGATTTTTTTTTTATATACCAATTATGCATGGTGCTCTTGATATGTAAATATGAGTTACTACATATAGTCCTTATTGAAGTCCATTGCCTGTTTATGAGCGGAATATTATATACTCGGATCATGCTCTTCATTATGAAATGTATTAAAACGATAAATTAGACTTGTTCATAAGTAAACATTAGGTTAAAATAATAAAATATAAATAGTAGATTTGAAAATTTAAATAAATTTTATTGCCGAAAAAGTAATTTAGGTTTATAAATACCAAACTCCATTTTATGTTATAAACAAATATGAAGCTATTACATATGATATTTGTGAATACCGAAATTACTTTTGCGCCAATTTATTTAACATTCATTTAATCACCAAAAAACATTAAAACATAAAATCATTAACATAAACTTATTTTAATAATTAAATATAAATAATTTATATTTTATTGTATTTCTTTTTATATGAAAAAAATCATTCTACAAAGAATTCTAATAATTAATTTATATATTTTTCTCTCTTCCTATATCCTTTATACAAATATGAAAATGTTTCTTATAATTATCGTTATGTTTGCTTTATTTCGATTCTTTTTTAAATTTTACCATCTATGTATTTTCTTTACTAATTAAATATTTTCTATACATATAATTTTGCACTAAAACATAAAAGCGCTTCCGATCTTTAAATGAGATTAAAAACTATAATAATGCTGACATACGTATACCACTTTTTGATAAAAAGAGTTCAGATTTTTGTTTTGAAAAATCTCGTGAAATTCTCACTCGTCCATTAAGTTTTGATCCACCACCAGGTTTGAGTAACACGACAAATGAAAAGAAACGTGACCGAAAGAGTATCTCTGAAAATATAATGGATATAGAAAATACATTGAAGGCTTTAAATCAGGATTTTATGTATACCTACACTGAACTTAATAAAACCGATTCCGATGAAACTATATTGAATGAGCAGTTTTCCAGTATAGTTTCATCAATTGATGAAGAAATCAGCAGTGCTACTGGTAGCCTCAGATCTGCTGTTTACAATTACAGTAATGGTGTACAGACAATGTTTGATTTCAATGCTGCTACCAATCATATCGACAAGCACTTACAATACATGAACGCTCAGAGTCAAAATCAATCAGTTTGTGATACAACTTTAGATCAGAAATTGATTGAAGACAAACGTTCTAGTACACCAGATACAGGATTTGCTTCGCGCGACACTAATATTTCGTTATCTCGACGTAGTAGTCAAAAATCGAGTTATAGTCCGCAAGAAAACTTTTTTAATCCAAAGGACTTGCATATTGCGTCGAGTGGTTACACAGGACTAAGAGAGGAAAATACATTATCTAGCGAAAGATTTTGTACAAAATATAATGCCTTGTCTGCTTCACCTAATAAGACTGCTGAACATGTCAGCAATAACTCAGTTTACTCGCCCAGAGAATTGAAAATTGACACCGAACAATTTAAAAATAAGAGCTACCGACAACGCTCTATGTCTTTTACTGATCATTTTAATCCCATATCTCCTGTGATGTCTGAGCCACAACAACGTGTTAAACGACAATCGACAAATATTAAAAACTCGCAATCTAATTCAAATGGGCAGCCAACTAGACGATCAGCTTCCTACAAACCGCGATCCATACGTGCACGCACTCTACGTCGACTTAGTTATAATCCAATTATTTTAGATTCCAGCAGTTCCAGCGATGGGGAAAGCGATTGTAATCGCAGCGTTGCACGCTCTGAATGTGACATTCGTACTCGTGTTTCTGTATTATATCGTCGACGTCGTCAGGGTATTGGCCATAAAACACTCTCGTCGTGTAATGACGATCACGAAGCTATTGTTGCTTCTAACAAATTATATGGCTCTAATGCTAGCATAAAATCCGCTCCTCATTACAACTATGGCGGTCGCATGGGATCATATCGAAACTATCCCCGAAATATGTTTGACCAATTAGCTTACGAAGATAAGATATACGATTTTGGTGGTCGAGGACCAGGTAATAACTACGGTGTCACTGCTACAACAAATCAAAACATAATTAAACCACCTAAAACTTTTACTGTTAATGGAAGTTGCGCTGGTTCGGGCTCAGGTTCATCTTCGACAACATCAACAGCTGCACCGTTTAGTGCTAGCACACGTAGTGCTATATTCCATGAATTTGATGTTAGCAGATTAACTGGAAAGAGTCCCACATCTAATTTCGTCAACTCTTCTCCAGAAGAAAGAAATTCCAGACAGTCTAAAGGACCAAATGCAACTCCTCCAACTACGCTCCCACTGCCATTGCTAAATCATACAACAAATGCAAATACTGCCAATACTTCAAAATTGCAAACAGAATTCCATTGGCCAGAAAAAATTCATGGTTCCACCGTTAAGCAAAACGATATGTTCTGGCGGCAACAGCAAAGAGATGTTGACGCTCAAAGCGCATTTCTACGTAATTTACAAACCGTCGATCATATACACACTAGTGACAGTTCTTCCACTGAAAGTGGTGATGAGTTCGTCTACCGCAGCGAATTCATACCACACGTTCCACCGAGTCCCGCCCCATAACTAAGAAAAATGCTGAAATATTTACTCAATTTGCTTTTCGGAAATGTTATGTCGAGCGATTAGAAAGCTTCAGAGATAAAGTCAGAGAATTATGCAGTTCTTACAAAGGATACGAAAGATATGAATGATATGAAATGAATACGACGGTGGAATATGCGAGTGAATTGACTTACTTAATTGTGTTTTGTTTGGAATGTAGACGAACCTTTAGTAAATAACATACCGTACAGGAAAGGCTGACCTCAATAGAAAATGTGTCGAAAAGTAAATTGAACAAATATTTACAGCATTAGAAACTATAAAAAATAGAAAACAATAAAATCAAGAAACAACAACAATACATTTGTTGGGAGTGCCTTACAAAAATTCCCCACTCATCAAGTTGTGCAATGTAGTAAAATTTTCGCTCTTCTCCTCAACTCCTCAAGTCCTCAAATTTAGCTATTTTACAATGCGTTAACGTAGAATTGATAGATAATGGTTATTGATAAATTGATAAATTGTCATGTTACTCATTGGTTTCTGAGCTACTTCAGATTGATATGAATCTGAATTGAATATTATAGAAAAAAAGTTTATAATCGATTTAAAGATTGATTCGCGTTATATAATTGTTAAACTTTACTATTTAAATATAAACAATTAAGTAAAATTTAAAGTTTTTAATTCAAAAGTGTCAAAATTGTTTTTTAAAGCTAAAAGGAAACAAATTACAAATTACAAATTATACTAAATATACATAAATACATATGAGATACTTAAAATTTAAATGAATACATAGTTAAATTTGTTAAATTAAAATTCGAAATTATCATACAAAAATTACATTAAAATTAATTAAATTAACGAGTACAAGTTGTAATTTATAAATCGTTACTGATCACAACAAACACATTGTCTAATGAGGTATATTCAAAACCATACATGTATATATCATAAACGCTCTCTGGGTTATTACTTCTATTTAAAAGACTTTAAAAGAAAATGTTTGGATACAGAATTTATTGTAAATTTTATAAACTTCACCGGCGCTCGAGATAGAGTAACCAGAAAACTTGTTTTGCCACTGACCATGCTTAAGACATTTTTGCTTGTGTGACCCTACATACTAGTTGCTTTTCAGATCCTGGCGGACTACAGCAAAACAAGCCATTTTTAATTCACTTTATATATCTAATACTGAAATTAACCAAAACACAACATACAAAAGTGTGTCTTAAATATCTAAACTTCCACCTTAAGTTATGAGGAATGTGGAATCAAAACATGGAATTCATGAAGATTTGCCCCTCTCTTTATATTAACTATCAACTCACTATCAAACTTCAAACTACCGAACTTAATTATTAATAAGTAAAAATAATACATAATTGTGAGAATAGTAACAAATACAATCATTTCTGAATTATATAGTACTAGTGTATTACCTATCACCCGAATAAACTACAGTAGTTGACGACTCCGACTGTAAAAAGCACTACCAGCGCTCTCACTTCGTCACATAAAAGCAGTCACACACAAGTCCCAGTACAGTAAATTCTACCTCCACATCGCATATATTGATCCCTCTCTTTGTATCATATATATGTATTTCTATTACAATGAAAATACTATCATTGGAATCCTCTGTCGACAAAGTACTGCAAAATCTATGCAGTATCATCCTCGAGATCATGATTGTTTATCAAGAAAGATCTATGGATATGAAAGATCCCTCTCAATTGAGGTCAGAATATAGTCACTTGCTAAACAGTTACTTAACAAGAATTAACATATCCATCCTTAATGTGTTCCGCAACTACTACTCTACTCCTCACATGTAAATTTATTATCATAATTACACAAATTAATTTATGACTCGGCACCTTTAAGATAAGTTGTTTTTATCTGAACTTAGATAAGAATCAACATTCTTATTAATCTTTCTTTACGATAAAATAATTCTAAATTTGACCTTCAAGACCCAATCCAGCTTTCAATATATTATTGTGACAATCGTCATAAATTAATTTTTTTGTTTTTTTTTTAAATAATAATAGACGAAGTAAAAAGAAATCCATTATTTTTGCATAAAATTAAAGGTTTATTTACCATAGTTAGAATGTTTCGATTTGCTATGAGCAGTTTTGTTCGATGCCTCTCTCATATAAGTCCTCGTCATTATTGTCAAAAAAATTATGACAGTCGATTTTCACAAGTCTCTCTTGAAACGAATTTTTCACCAGAAAAAGCGTTCGTCATCGACAGGACCTGGTGCAGGTCTAGAATATAAGGTGGATGATTAAAAACTTCGCAACCAAACTCCCGTGTCTTTTGGCGACTCATTATGTGTGTGTTACTCTGGCGTTGTCCTGATAGAACACAATTCCTCTCCTATTGCCCAAAACTGGCCATTACTGAGCGATTGTTTTTTTTAGACGGAAGACTGCCAAATTGTTGACAGTACAGTTCCGAATTAATAGTTTTACCGTAGTGTAGCAGCTCATAGTAGATGATTTCCTGCCACTCCTAACTGACACACTCCAAAACCTTCCTGATCGTCAATCCTAGCTTGGTCACCATTTCAGCCGGCTCGCCACGATTGGACTATGACCGTTTTCACTTGATGTTGTCGTAAGTGATCCTGATGAACTTTTCATCACCAATTACCAACCGCTTCAGAAATGAGTCGATTTTGTTGCAATTCAACAGTGATTCGCAGATATAAGTTCGGTCTTTGAGGTTTTTTGCATTAACTCCTGTGGCATCCATACATCGTTCTTTTTTTATCTAACCTTTTTCAAACGGTTCCAAACAGTTTTTTGTGCAATCTTTAGCTCTTGGGCAATCGAAAGACTGCTTATGTGACGGCCGGACTCGACAATTTCCATGATTTATCGACAATTGACCTCCAGTGGGTGGAGCATCTTTGACATAAAAATTACCGGAACGGAATCGACGAAACCAAAATTACTGTTACAGCATCATGACCATAAACACTACATTTTCAGCTCCTTGACTCGCTTTTTAGCCTTTATCAAACACGGTCGGGCTCATACAACACGGGTTACAGATAACTAAAGCCATCTATTGGGAAAATGGATTACTTATTACTACATCTAATATTTCATTTGTAACGTGTAATACAGTGTAATAATAACTAAGTTAGTCTTAAGCACTTAAACTCGAAAATAATTATAGCCAAAGTAAAAACTTACTTAGCTATTTGGAAAATTACAGAACATCTTCATGATGCATTTGTTTTGATTTGAGAATATTTCATTCGTTTATTTTTATTTTATATATTATATATACATATATATGATGTTAGCTTTAGTTTCAAATATATCGGAAGATCCGACTATTTTTATGAGTATTTTCATAACGTCATTTCCTTCTAACATATATCTAATTGTATAAAACAGAACGAAAATAATTGAATGCGTAAAAGAGCAAGATCAGCTAGTCAAGTAACTCGAATATTTTAGGTATTCGATCCCAATATTTGAATTCGAACATACTCAGTCTGCTCATGCTTCATAATACTCGAACACTTTGAGACACTAATGTTAACTACAAGTTCGTCTCAATCTAAATATTAATGTGCCTAAGAAAAACTATTTAAATAAAGATTATAATTTTTCATTAAGCATACTGGTTACTTTATATACCTGTAATATCGGAGTTCTTGAACTATCGGTTAGACCTGTTGTTTTCGACTAAGCTTAACAGTATAGGTTAACATATTGAACTTTATAGGTCATGCTTTGGTTTTTACCTGTATCTCTCCTATAAAATTGAGATTAGTTTTAATTGAACTTACACTCTGTTTATTCTTATTATATTATATTATTTTTAAATAATAACAAAATATTTCAGATGTGTAAATATCGATCGGGTGGGTAATCTGTTATAAAATTATTAATGGAGTTTTTTATTTCTAGTCATCTAAAAGAGAGAGAGAGCGTTTATGATAAAATAACGAAATTAAAATCATTATGTAGTTTTTATATACAACTAACAAATTTCCTTTAATACAAAAATTAAAATATAAATTAATATTTAAAGTAAGACAAACTCAACTGATCTTCCTAATTTCGTAATTTTTTATATTTATACTTAAATAAAAATTATTATATATATATTAAACGACACAAAATAACTGTGGCACTCGTAAGGTGACAATCTACAAGAAACTTTCCTGTCTATTGAAAACAAAATATCTCCAGAACAACTCAGTTCTTGCGTATCGAAACATACTTACATATATAAGAACTAACAAATCGAGCTCCCTAAAGCAATTTTTTATTTTATCTCTTTAACATATGTATACAATATACACATATATATATACGTATATATACATATGTAATTTATTTTGCTGAATTATTCTTATCGCTAAAAAAAACTGCAATTTTTTTTATTCTGTACTATTAAAATAAATAATTATATTAATTAAAAGCAATTACAAAGCAAAAGCGAATTTTTCAAATTATATCTTAAGTATAATATTATATGTACTATACATATTTCTTAATAACTGGAACCTTATAAACTTATGCGATTTTCTTACTAAAATATTTTAAAATAAACGACAAATTGAATATTTACTGTAAACAAATTCTAAAATATCAAATATTAATATTAAAAACAAATATATTTATATATATATACATAAAGTATTTTCGCATATAATCTTAACATAAATAATTAAATTATTTAAAAAAAATAAAAATGTTAACTTAAGCGCATTATCATCTTCGAATCGTTAATGAAAAGCGTTTAATAATTTGAAAATAAACGTATTAAAAAATTTTAAATCAAATAAAATAAATACTCAGAATGTTGCAATTAACATTTGTAATCAAATTTAAATTTATTATTAGTAGTATGTTGATATATTTCAATAAAAACAAAACTAAACCAAAATAAAAAAATACCGAAACTTATTCAAAAAAAAAAACAAAAAAAAATGTTAGTGCCATTTCCTTTTTTATTTATAAATACATATAATTAATAATTTATTACTTTATTATTATTTATATTTATAGTTTATAATTAATATATAACATTTTTATTTATTTCAATTTTTTAATTTCTATTATTAATGTTTATTTATTTTTTGTTTTTATTTGCATAACCTTTACCCTTTATCCATTTACCTTAACCATTGATTAATCCTCTTAATCCTCAATTTTCCTTTCTTTAAATTTCCTGTTAATTTTTCTCCTTCCCACATACACATTGAAAAAATTTAGGCTATTATCGGCGAGGAGGGTCGAGAAGCTTATAATAGTCTGATTGAGAGAAAGACTACACTTGGCATTGGCGGCAGTTTTAGTCCAGCTGCAAGTTTATTAAGGCAATTAGATACAAATGAATTTGATTTAACTGCTGCAAAAACTCTACCACGTCGTTCTGTACACCTAAGAAATGACAATGAAAACCACATTGAACACTTAAGAGATGAAGTACCACAATTGTCGATACCTTTACAAAATGCGCCTAGACCCATGACACTACCGAACCGCGGTTCGGCAAGTAGAATAAAGCGTACAGAACTATGCACTACGCCAAAACATAATCTCAGTGACAGAACATGCAGTGGAAAAGAAAATGAGCACTGTAATTCCATGGAATACGATGTCAATGGTATGTTGGATAAAACCTCTCCATGTGAAAGCCCAAGCTACATGACAAACACTTCGTACAACTTTCCTGATAACTCAGCAACAAAAGATGAAAATCCCATACCCTTGCCACCACGTGAGGGAAAGAAACATATCAAAACAAATCCAAAACGACATGTGCGTAAGTATCCATTAATCATTCCCGCTAACGG